TTTTTTTTGGTTTTCACGTTATAGAAAAAATTTTTTTTTTTTTTTTTTTTTTTTTTTTTTTTGGTACCAGGGATCGAACTCAGGACATTGCACTTGTGAGGCAGGTGGCAGCAGCACTGAGCTAAATCCTGGGCCCTAGAAACACTATCTTGAAGTTTGTAATATTTCAAGAGCTTGAAATACAATGCACAAAAAAAGTACAGATCACCTCATTAGTGTTGCTTTGCCTTTTATATACTTTATGCTTTAATGAGTGGGCTGTTCACTTCAGTGGGCTTCTACTTTATTATAGTTTGCTTATCTTCAGATCCAACTTTAAACTGACTCGAAGTTATGTTCTTTCTTTCATTCTGATTTGCGGAGCTAAGGAAGAAGAGGCAGAGGGAGCAACAGAAGAGGTACGGGCTGCCACTTTGCCAGCTGAACTTTGTCAGCCTAACGGAAACAGCATCCACTGAGCCCACCACGGCATCAGCCGCATTCCCCTTGGTACCCCCTAAGTGAGAACTGGCGCGGCCACACCCAGAGGGCCCCCTGCAGCCTGCTCAGAAGGGAAATGTGTGGGACATAAATGTGTAGAAAATTTGCGTGAGGGAGGTGGGTAGCAAAACAGGACTGAGCTGTGGGCCCTTTCTGAGCTTCCCACGAGGTTTTTGTCAAAGCCAGGCAAGGCTGGGTGGGGGCATCAGGCCGGATGCCTTCTCCTTCTGTCCTTGCCCACCCACCGAGGAGCAGGCAGTGTACGAGGCCCGCATGGCGACTAGTGATGTTTCCAGGGTTTTCTGCTCACCCTACTGAGGGAGGAACTGACACCGGGAAGCAGTTTGTTAGCTACACACAGACGCAGCCCGGGGAAGGGACAGTGCAAGGGGACCCTCAGGAACAGTGCTGATGGGCAGGGTTGGGAGCCAGGCATTGTGGTATCAGGAGGTGGTGCCCCCTGGCTCCCACAGGGATGTGGCTGGCTTGTTAATAGTTCCAGAGGAGAAGCAGGTGCTCTCCCTGGTCCCTTGATAAAGAGGGTTGTTTAGCCGGGAGACCCAGTGTGCAGGGCCATCCTGTTTTATCTGACGCCAAGGCACAGAGGCCTGAGTCATAATTTCAGTGCTTATATCTCAGATGTGTGTCTCGGATGCCTTTGTAACTGGAGCTGCAGGGTTAAACAGCGGCCCCTTATCAAGTGTCTGGACAGCATGCTGTTTGGAAATCTGATGCCACACTTGGCCGTAACATTGAGAAACCACCTGCTCCCAAGATTTCTAGCAGGGATATAGCTAGGGAGAGTACGGCTGAATTGGGGAGGGTCATTAAACTGCCCCCCAACTTTAGGTTCTGGTGGGACTGTGCTTATCATTTCCAAATTTTCCCAAGCCTACTGTATGAGTCTGTTTTGCTTTCCTGTAACAAAATACCCAAGATAGCCTCACTTATGAAGAAAAGAGGTTCATGCTGCTCACACTTAGAGAAACTGAAAGTCCATACAGCATGACAGAGGGTCTGGCAGGGGCTCCCGTGGGCTGTGTCACCTCATGGTAGGCAGCAGTGGTGGGAGAACACGATGGGGGAGAAAACTCCCATTGCCAAACAGGAGGCCAGTGAGAGATGGGGTCCCACGGGCCCCTCGCTGAGACCTAAACTCGCAGCATTGCTGTCCTCAGCCAGTGACCAGGCTGTGGAGACACAGCCCCAGCTCCCCTTTGCAGCTCCTCCTGTGGCCATGAGAGAGAACACACAAAGTCAAGGGAGAACATTACAAAATGGAGCGCTTCAGTTTGGCGTGTAAAAGAAACAAGAGATTCAACAAGATGAAAAATGCAAGAAAGAGGTGTCTCACCCTGAATGAAGGCAGAATAAGAACAGCTAAGATATAAAGGGAAAAAATCTCACAAAGATAGGAGGTGACAAATTATGTAAAACAAGGAAAAAGTATAAAAAATTAGGGGTAATAAGAGATAATTTTAAAGCATAATTAAAACATCAGAAGAGAAATGATAAAGCAGTATTAAAAAGCTATTAATTCTAAGAAGAATCAAATTTATTCTCTGTAATGTAACGTAAGATGCTGTGTGTAGCGTGTCTGCGTGTGTTTTGTGTGTGTCTATGTGGTGTGCTGCATGGCTTGAGTTTGGTGTGTGGGGCGTGTGTATCAGGAGGCCCTCCCCTCTCCCTGCAGACCTCCCATTGTTTCTCCTGTGTCTGTGGCCCTGTCACGTGTGTCTCCATAATGAAGTGACTTTTGTTGGAACAGACGGAGGACTCCCGGGAGGAGGCGGCAGCGGAGGAGGCCAGGAACAAGGAGGCAGAGGAGGGAGAAGAGGAGCCGGGGAATGAGGCTGAGGACTCCTAGGCCCCAGCACAGCCCTGCAGTCCTCGCAGGTAGCTGGGCCCTGCGCCGTCCCCATCCAGCCCTGGGCACCTGGGCAGTGGGGTCTGGCTCGGAGCCTCCCCTTACTGGGCTGGTGGCCAGGCCCCGTGGGTCTGAGGAGCCTGTCGCGGTGGGCGCTGTGCTCTGCTGCGCTGTGTCCCCACTGCTGTCTCCTGCGCCACTAGGAGGAAACGTCAGTGTCCCAAGGGTGGGGGGTGATTGGCCACTACCGTGTCCAGGAAGTAGCTGCCCCGAACTCAGTCACAAGTGTGCAACAGCACGCCCTGAACCCTCCCGTGGGGGGGGGACAGGGCCATGCCACTATGAGTCTGACACACTTCCGCTGCCTGGTAGTTTTAAATTTCTATTGATGATAAAAATTACGATGCAATTCTTAACAGGTGGATCAGATTATTAATATGATTATAGCATTAAGTTGCTTTTTTTCTCACTATATAGTCCAAGCTGGCCTTGAACTCACTGTAGTCCAGGCTGGCCTCAGACTTATGGTGATCCTCCTGCCTCAGCCTCCTGAGGGCTGGGATTATGGGCCTGTGCTGCCTATGCCTGGATGTGCTGGTAGTTTTGGTAGTAAGGGTTACTGAGGAAAGGGGGAGAGGCTTAAATTTTGTGGCCATAAAGACCAGAGGGCATTGTGAATCACTTTCAGATCCCTGTGTGCTGAAAAGGATCCGGCTTCCCCAGCAAACGCTCATGAAAGGTTGGGTTAGTACTAATATTACTGACTTGGCCCTTGGGTTCGCAGTACATCCAAATCAGCTTTGCTGCAGCCCTGCAAAGGTCTTTAAAAATTAAAGTTACACAAATTTTCTCTCTCCTTCCTGCTCATTCCGTGCTTGCTCTTAAAACATTCGACGGATTCCCAGATGGTTGCTACCCGAGCAGCAGGCGAGGTGCTACCCAGCGACACAGTGGTCTTCAGCAAGGGCTGTCACAGAGCTGTGTCCCGGCGGCCACCGCCGCACCGGGACGCGTGTGGGGAAGGAGGAAAAGCTCCCGGAGCTCTGAATATTGCTAACACATGGCCACGTCCCGGGTCCCCGGTAGCAGCCTCCCTGCTTACAAACACCGAGCTGGCACAAGGCCCCCTTAACTCCATTTGAGCGCATCTTGGGGCTGGTGGGCCAGAAGCCTTCTATCTTCGTCTGAATTACAGAGCGAGTCAAGCCAGGGCCTGCTATTCCCCGTCCCCCGCTGCTGTAAAGCCCACCGAGGGTCCTTTCAGAATGATCCCTTCGGTTCCTAAGGAGTGAAGTGGGACCCTGGTCTGCAGAGAGGGGAGGCTGGCAGTCTGCGAAAGCCTCCTGCTCCGGGCGGGAGACAGAAGCTCCGGGCCGCCGGCTTCTGCCGGAGCAGAATGGATCGCGGTAAAAGCCGCGGTGAAGGAAGCTCCTCTGCTTGCCGCGCTCTTTGAAAACTAGGCCGTTGTGAGCAGAAGTGCGGACTGCTGGGCAGGGTGTAGAGCCCCTGTGTTGCCGGACGTCTTTACGGTTGAACAGCAACAACAACAAAAAGCAAAGGACTGCACAGCGCGCTTGGTCCGTTTCTCGGGTGGGCTCCAGTTTGGAATCCAGTCCTTCGCGGCCGCTTGTGAGGTCAGAGTGCCTGGAAGTGAAGGGGTGAACCAGCCCGCGCCCTGAATCCCACCGCCGGCCCCATACAGGTTCTGTCGCCTGCTTGAAAATATCACATGGCAGCGCCCTCGGGCATTCTGCGGACCTTTCAGCTTCTAGAGACAAACCTGTCTCAGAGCTCATGGAAGATTCAG